CGCCCCCCCCGCCTGCGTCCTCCGCGGCTTTGCTCTGCATCTCCCTGGTCTGCTGGGAGCGGGGGGAGGGCCAGCAGACCAGAGAGATGCAGAGCAGCTTTTCTCGCTGTGGAGGATGCGGGCGGCGAGACCGCCGCGGCGCGTCTCGGCGGTCTGCTGGGGGGGGAGAACAGATAGTTCGGGGTTCCCTCACCCCGTTCTTAAGTAAGGATCCAACATAAGTCGGATCCTCGTAACCCGGGGACTGCCTGTATTTCCAATGTCACTTGATGCTGTACTTTAAGCTTCCTGGAGCACCTGCAAGAATCAACTGGTTTACACTATAATTTTAAAAGCTATCACCAGATCTTAGTCAGAGATTTTTAGCTCTGCTTTGGAATTTTCTAAAGTTTGTTTCTTGGAAGTGGGAGAAGGGATCAAGATTGTCTACAAAGTGAAAAAAATGTTGTATGTTTTTTCTGAATACCAATGGCCCATTCTATGTGTGCATAATTCAAGGACCTCTCTTCCACTTCACATCCCAGATCTAACCTATCATTTTGAGACAAATTGATACTGTGATTTTTTGATAAAAACGCAGTTGTAATCTTAATTATGGAGCGATTGCCACTGCTCCACAGGAATACGCACTAACAATGAAGTATTAATGATCGAAATTTAGTAAGAGTACACAATCCAGGCAAAGGCAGTGGTTCTGAGATCGATGGCACCTAGATGGAAACAACCCCAATAGCTTTTGTCCAAGTTCAGGACCTTTCTGATATTCCAGTTGTGATAAGGAGCCACATCATGTTTATCAATAAAACTGAATAGTTTTGAGATCGCAAATCACAGCCCTTGATGCTGCAGTGAAGCTCTGCAGAGGAGGGAAGGAAACTTTCCCTCTGATCCTAGATACCTGGCAGCTTCAGCCACTTTGGTATTTTTTCAGGGGTATGTCTCACTGACTGTGAAGCTTCAGAGACTTTTGCGGGTTCTGGGTACTCATCTGTCTGCTCTGGTCCAGCTGGGAGTGCAACAGCTGTTTCTGAAGGTGGGGGAGCAGAAGGGACTAGCAATTTGGACAAGACTCTGAAAAGAGAAACAAGAAAGCACAATTAAGGGAAGATTTTCACACTGGTCTTCACACCCCTCAGCATACAATCCCATCTCAGTAATTCCTCATGCCCAGGCAGTGGAAGATTAATCTTCATCCCAGAAGCAAAGGCTTCAGGACACATACCAATCTGTAAGCAAAAGATCCTCCAGCTCCTGGCTAGATTTAGCAACAGGTACACACCCCCATTTCAATAGGGTTTACCAAGCTGCAAAGTCATAAATGAGCCTGTGGTGCCTGTAGGTTCTCCCCTTCTCCTCCCGGAGCTGTGCTAATTCTACCCTTCCCACACATGCCCACTCACATTAAGTAGCTTTGCTCACAGCGCTTACCTAGCTACTAGCAAGTCAGCTGTGGAAGGGGACACTGTAGACTCCAGTAGTTCTGATCTCAAATAACAATCTGTAAAACAAACCCAAACACATTTGTTAGAGAGTAACATCAGGCAACCCACAGACACTGTTATTGCAGTACCTAAGATCCATGTCGCTCCAGCAAATCCCTCTTCACGTGTGTTTATAAATTTTACCCTTTTCCCAATATGACAGCCAGTAATGTTAGCTAGTGGGTGGTAGTGACCCTTAAGCCATGCTGCTTCCTGCCGATCTTTCAAACCATGTGATTTTCAGGTACTTGATCTCTGCAGCTCAGAGGTTATAGTTGCTGGACTCCCTTTACACCTCTGTTAACAGCACCACAAATATGCCCAAAAATCAGAAACAGCCCATCTCCACAGGCAGCCTCAATAGGTTGGTCTCTGTAGTGCAATGTCTAGTTCTTTTTCTTTTTTACTTTTAAAGCAATGGGATTTCCACATTTCCCTTCAGAGACCACTACTCCAGGTTTGTCAAGTGTGCCTTTTCCATATCCTAATAAATCACATAAGAAAGGCTTCCTGATTTACATGTACAATTACATTAGTTAACTTATATAACTGGCAATCAATTTAAGATGAAACAGAACTAAACTAGTCTAGATGAGGCCGTAGTGATTCACAGTGGAGGCAGAGGCAGCTACAATGCACAATTCACAAACATAATCCCTTCTCCTACCAATATCCCTTTCGGGAAGTTCTCTCTATGCTGAGACTGCTGACAAAGGAGCTAATTAATGCTAATTTTGTGGAATTGTTTGCTAGGAATAGCAGTGAGCCAACGCACACCCACCCAATTTTACTCACCCATGGAGATTAATGATTTATACTAATTTTGACCTTAGACTGAACACAAATAGTACTACCGATACAAGGCTCCATATTCCACACACAAATCTCTGAGCCATCTAACTCTCCTGTCCTTCATTTCAGCTTCTCCTCTCCTAACTTTGCTTGGGTTCTCTTACTGGAGCAATTCTGGAGCCAGGGACACAGTTCATCTGGTAAAACACTGCGGCTGTGGAGAAGAAGAAATGGAGATAACTCACCTCTGTGCTTCTCAGATCCAAAGTGAATGACAGAAGCTGGGAAGAGGTTAGCCTGCAGCAAAGGGAAAAGAGATGGATGAGAAGAGGACAGGGCAAGCTGGAGAGTTGTCTCAGCCAGCCAACCTCAGATATTACATATACCTCTTCAAGGCAGCCCAATCTCTTCTCCAATCCAGGGCAAAAGCAGCCATTTGCTCACCAACCCCCTCTACCCCCAAAGCATCAATCCCTAATGGGCGGCAAAGCCCCTTAAAATAAAAGCAACCGTATGAGTGGCAGGAGGGCTGAAACAGAGCATGACAGCAGCTTGGAAACTTCCTTGCCAGATATGTTTTGACTATCTTCTGGAGCCCAGTTTAAAGCAACAGCAAATGCAGGCAGGATAGGCAAGCCCATGTGCAGTGTATAGGGTATCATATTCTATACAGACATATTGGGAGAGCTTAGGTAGCGTTCTGCAATAGCCCCTGGAATCTGCTACTCTTCATTCTGAGTGTTCCTGACTCCCTGTGGGAACCAGTCTTGCCAAGAGCCATGCTGCATCCCAGGTTTGTACTGTCCCATTGGCAAGGACAGAATAACTTCCCTGTGGGCATCATACCCCACCATTTTCCTCCCACTCTGCATTACCAGGACCACCAACGCTTCTTCCCCTTCTGAAGAGCACTAGGACATCTCTGGCTTTAGACTCTAGTTTCACTGTTGCAAACAATTGCCCCTTTCTTCTTCTGGAAAAGGGCACAAATGCTGTTCAGTTCCCTGCTTTGGACAGGCTGTTTTGGTACTGCCTGCCAGAAGGGGCAGAGGATCAATGCTGCATTAATGCAAATCAAAGAAGTTGTTCTACAGTCTGCCCCAGAGACCAGCTCCTATGAAACTGAGGCACTGATCTGCCTTGGTGTTGGAAACAATGCTGTGGACAGTTCCATCACAGTGCACCCCACTTTTAACAGTCACGTGCCCCTTACTATTCTAGTCCTGCTCCACAAGCTAGGCCTACAACCCTTCACCTTGCTGTGCTGGGCTTGTATCTCATTTGGGGACGCTGCCAATCATACCAGCAAACGTTCAGGGCATAGTGAATTTTACCTACAGGTGTCGCGTAAACATTGGCCTTTTTTAAAACAATAGTTGGGTGTGATGTGGAAATACTGCATCCATGTCAAGTTGTGGGGAGCAAGTGATCACACTACTATCCTATTACTAGCTACAAGACAGACAAGGAACAATGTTTTCAGGTACATAGATACTAAGGCCAGAAGGTAACTTTGACTTATCTAGTCTGACATGCTGTATAGCACAGGCCAGAGAATTTCACCCAGTTTCCACAATAGTGAACCAAATAATTTGTCTGACTAAAACGTATCGGCCAAAAAGTTATCCCATCTTCATCTGAAGACTGCAAGAGAAGGAAAATCCACTACTTACTTCCCTTGGTAGTTTGTTCCACTGGTTAATCATTCACTGTTGAAAGGCTGTATCTTATTTCTAATTTTGTCTCGCTTCAGCTTCCTGCCCTTGTTCTATCTTTCTTCAGCACATGAAGGAAAAGCTCTTTAGTAACCAATATTTTCTCCCTAACAAGGTCTTACAGTAATCATGTCCCCTCTCAATCTTCTTTTTGATAAGCTACACAGATTGGGCTCTTTAAGTCTTTCACTGTAATGGTCTTTTTTGTACTTGCTCCAACATGTCTTGCTTCTTTTACAAACTGGACACAGTATTCTAGCATCAGTCTCACCAATGCCATAAACAGAGGTAAAATCACCTTACTCTCATTGCCCCCCAGTTTACAAATCCAAAGACTGCAGTAGCTCTTTTTGCCACACCTTTACATTGGGAGTTCATGTTCAGTTTTCAGTCCACTATGACCCTGAACTCCTTTTTAGATTAATTGCTTTTTAAGGTACAACCCCCTATTACTCTAAATCTATTGTTTTCTAAGGCACAGCCCTCCGCCCATCCCTGTTTAATCAGTTAACCAGTTAAACTTAACATTTAACTGGTCAGCTAATTAAACAGGATTTTAAATTCCTACTTGAACCCAATGAAATTTTATTGCATGCCCCCTAATTTGTGTGTATTGTGAAGAGGAAAACATGTCCCTATTCACTTTCTTCACACCATTCATAATTTTATTAATTACTGACCTGTTAATACTTTACTCATCACCCACCTCTTCATTTATTTAAAAAAAATGGTGCTACCTGCAAAGTACGCATTCAGATAATATCTGCAACTTGTTCTTCCACTTTTGACAGTCTTTAAAGGCTCACCTCTTGTGTCATGTCTTTTAGACAACACACTCTTTGAGCCAAGAATTATATTTACTTTACGTTCAACTGCGTGGTCAAATGTCACAGTAGAACAAACTAGAGAAACAATACCTTGATATTCAAAAGAAAGCTTCTTGGAGGAGCTAGTTCTCAAGCACACAAGAGAAAAAGCTATTCTCAACTCAGGCCTAAAAACATGCAGCATTTGGTTCAATTAAGAACAGAGGGCAAGGCTCTAACAGGCTACATAATATAATTAAACATTGTAGGTGGGGAGGGAGAGTTCAGGTACTAAAAATTAAAACAGTGACACTACATTTCAAAAAAGAAAGTTTTTAATAAAATGAGGCACTGATTTAAAAGCCATTAAAGTTAAAAGCAAAGGAAGTAAAATCCCTAAATTTGGCATGGATGTCACTTAAGAAAACAACAGTCTCAGAAGGCATACATACCTCTGAAGAAAAAGGGAAGCGGGAAGGCAAGAAGCCAGTCTGGTAAATGGTAAGAGATTATTCAAGCCAGACACAGATCATTCAGAATTGGGTAAACTAATCTTAGTGAAGCCAATAATTAACTTCCAACAAGGGATATATGAGAAATAAATTTGAAGAACTAGGCTGGAATTCGAAGAGCAAATGGCTAACTGAACAAAAATAAAGAAATTACATGAAGTATATTAGAAGCAGGAAACTGGCAAAAGAAATGGTGGATCAATTAAGAGAGCAATTAAGAAAAATAAAGACAGTGGCTGAGAAACAAAATGATTTATCTGCATCAGTCTTATGCCTGGTTTCTTCTGGTAACTTAGCTGAGGTGCTGTCAGAGCCGAAGTGCCAGAAGATTAGGCTCTGGACCAAACAAATTAAAAAGCAATCAATCAATCAATCAGTCTCCAGGCACAGGTAGTCCATCTCAGAACTCTCAAGGAAGTTTGAAAGCTCTCAATCTTAGGAATGAGCTAATATCAAAAATATTACCTGGCCTATGAAATACAGCTACTATTGCACTGTTGTACCTCTATTTTAAAAAGATTCTGGCATCATCTGGAGAATTACAGAAAATTGGTCAAAACGCTCATTAAATAATAGAAACATAAAACACCTGGAAAAATCACAAGATGCAGTCTAACAAGCATTGATTCTGCAAAAGAAAATTATGTCTTAGTATGGGAAGGAGGTAGGCAGCCCTCAGTGGAGAAAGAAGAGGTTAAGAACTATTTAGAAAAGCTTGACATACACAAATCCATGGATCCGTATTTAATGCATCCGAGTACTGACGGAGTTGACAAATGTCATTGCAGAGCCTTTGGTCATTATCTTTGAAAACTCTTGGGCTACATCTAGACTACAACCCTTTTTCGTAAAAGGGATGTAAATTAGACGTATCACAATTGCTAATGAAGCAGGGATTTAAATCTCCCCCGCTTCATTAGCATAAAAATGGCTGCCGCTTTTTTTCGGCATGGAGCTTTGCTGGAGAAAAGCGCCAGTTTAGATGCTGATCTTGTGGAAAATAAAGCCTTTTCTGAAAGATCCCTTATTTCAAGATGGATAAGGGATCTTTCGGAAAAGGCTTTATTTTCCCCAAGATCAGCGTCTAGACCGGCGCTTTTCTCCGGCAAAGCTCCGTGCCGAAAAAAGCGGCAGCCATTTTTATGCTAATGAAGCGGGGCAAATTTAAATCCCCGCTTCATTAGCAATTGTGATACGTCTAATTTACATCCCTTTTACGAAAAAGGGATGTAGTGTAGATGTAGCCATGGAGATCAGGAGAGATCCCGGATGACTGGAAAAAGGCAAATGTAGTGCCCATCTTTAAAAAAGGGAAGAAGGATTATCCAGGAGACTACAGACCAGTCAGCCTTACCTCAGTCCCTGGAAAAATCATGAAGGGGATCCTCAAGGAATCCATTTTGAAGCACTTGGAAGAGGGGAAGGTGATCAGGAATAGTCAACATAGATTCACCAAGGGCAAGTTATGCCTGAGCAATCTGATTAGCTTCTATGATGATGTAACTGGCTCTGTGGACATGGGGAAGTCGGTGGATGTGATATACCTTGACACATTAGGAAAGCTTTTGATACAGTCTCCCACAATATTCTTGCCAGCAAGTTAAGGAAATATGGATTGGAGAATGGACTGTAAGGTGGATAGAAAGCTGGCTAGATTGTCAGACCCAAAGGATAGTGATCAATGGCTCAATGTGTGGTTGGTGGTCAGTTTCAAGCAGAGTGCCCCAAGGACTGGTTTTAGGACTGGCTTTGTTCAACATCTTTATTAATGACCTGGATGAGGGAATGGATTGCACCCTCAGCAAGTTTGCAGATGACACTAAGCTAGGGGGAGAGGTAGATACACTGGATGGCAGGGATAGGGTCCAGAGTGACCTAGACAAATTGGAGGATTGGGCCAAAAGAAATCTCATGAGGTTCAACAATGACAAATGCAGGACTCTCATGCATTGTTATAGGTTGGGGACCAACTGGCTAAGTAGAGGTACAGCAGAAGAGGACCTGGGGATTACAGAAGATGAGAAGCTGGATATGAGTCAGCAGTGTGCCCTTGTAGCCAAGAAGGCTAATGGCATATTAGGGTACATTAGGAGAATCATTTCCAGCAGATCTAGAGAAGTTATTATTCCCCTTTATTTGGCATTGGTGAGGCCACATCTGGAGTATTGCATTCAGTTCTGGGCCCCCCGCTATTGAAAGGATGTGGATGCACTGGAAAGGGTCCAGCGGAGGGCAACCAAAATGATTAGGGGGCTAGAGCACAT